TGAGGGGGCCTCCTCTGACCAGCACACAGCAGAGCTGCAGACACCCCCACAAAAGCCATCGTCAGCCTAGTGACCGGGCCCTGTGTGAGCAGCTCCCAGGAGCAGCCTCTTGGCCCACTTTACATCCCAGGAAACTGAGGCCAGAGGTGAAGAGTGCTGGAGGGTGGGGGTGGGGACAAGCCTGGCTCTGGCCCCAGGTCCCATGGACCTCAGAGCCTGAGCCCTCCCACACCCCAAGACCTGGAGCACCCCTTGGGGCTCCCCCAGGTCAGCCTGCTGGTGACAGAAGCTCTGCCAGGCCCTGTCCCTTTAAGCTGACTGTGGGTGGGGGGAGTCTGGGGGGGCAGGGCCTGGCTCCTGTTCCTCTTTCCCCTGGGGATGAATCACCCGTGAATCAGTGGGAAGGGAGGACTCGGTTCCCACCACTACTTTCCACTACTTTCCACATGAAAACCTCGGGCCCCATGGCTGGCTGGGAAGCAGACTGTTTGTTTATTTGGGGGTCTGGACAACCCCCACCCCCATCCTGTCCTAAGCCAGCACTCTGAAGTCAACAGTTGGGATCAGATTCAGCTGTTAGCATTTTTTTTTTTCTTTTTTTACAAAAATAAACTAATCCGCAGCCCTTGGATGTTTCAGTCTGGAGGAACCTGACGCAGAAAAGCCATCAGGCCAGGTGTCCTGAGGCGCCCCCCAGGAGAGGGATGGCACAGCCGGGAGGGAGGAGAGATGCGGGCACGGCCGGCTTCCAGGAGGCTCGGGCAGCGCGGGCCTGGACGGGGGCTCTGCGTGCAGGCTCGGGGCAGTCACGGCCGCCATGGGGCAGATGGGGAAGCCGAGGCCCAGGCGCCCGCAGGGCCTGCATAGGCTCTGTACTGCACAACTCCGGACTGTCACGAGCAAGGATCACAGGTGGCCCACCTCCCCGGAGTCGGTGCCGTGCACACGTGGACGACTGTACGCACCAGCGCCCCCCAGTACATGATGCGTGGAGCCCAGCCAAGAGCCAGTCGGAGGTCCCTGCGCCTCTCCTGTCACCCCTTACAGGGACTCCCCTGTCACCCAGTGGTCAGCTGTGACCTGGGGAGGCAGGGGCCACCTGCAGATGGCCACGAGGTC